CTCATAATCAGATGTATACTGTGGAAACAGAAGACGTCTATTTAGGAAACTTAGCTTTCCCAGGAGTCATATCGAGATGTGGGGCCAGGGTACAGCATCGTTGTGTGAAACACGTAGGGGGGTCGTACTTTTTTCCGGGAAGGGGGTCGTATTTCGTCCATTGGGAAAGAAGGGGGAGGGGTCGCTGAGAGAAACGATTTTCCGATGTTGACTTTTCACGTGATTTTTCCTGTTTCATGTCCTCTATATACCCCTCCCCTGCTCCACGGAAAATTTTTGGGTGAAAAAACTGGCTCTTGCGAACGCGCGCCTTCTCCGTAACGCTGGCCTGCCTAATGTATTCATACGGAAAAGCATGACTTCGGAGGAACGAAAACGTGAATACGAGCTGCGACAGGAGGCACGCGAACGAAACAAGGGCAAAGCGAGCCGGGAATGGGTAGTCCACCAAGGACAACTGAAACATACTTCGGAACTGCAGCATAAACGCTCGGGAAACGCCTAAGTGCGCATGGTGGTTCTGTCCTTATTTGCTGTTTGCTTAATGCTCGTAGTTTGCCGAATAAGTTAGAACATTTACGTGCCTACATTTCGCAGTATGAGCCTGATCTCTTGTTTATTACAGAGACATGGCTTACGGACAATATCCTCGTATTTTTTATTCCGCCAAGATCGAAAGGAGCGTCGAGGTGGTGGAGTATGTTGTCTGGTTAGGGGCAACCTGTGTGTTCATCGTGTTGAACAAGTCAACCCAATCAAAGCCGACGTTCTCTGCCTGGAAATTTTCAGTCCTCCTAAGGCCACTCATTTCCGGTTCACCGTAGTGTATCGTCCCCCGAACTCTACAAGGCGTGAAGACGATGGTCTTGTTGATGTTCTTCGTGAGATGGTTTCCGCTCAGGTCAACTCTATAATTGTGGGCGATTTAAATCTACAGGTTGACTGGAAAAACCTACGGGCAGATAACGCTTCCTCAGCTGCCTTTCTGGATTTCTTCCAAGAAAGTGGTCTCGAACAACACGTCCTCCAACCAACGCATGGCAGCAACACCCTTGACTTGGTATTGTCCACTTCGCACAGCATACAAAACGTGTCACTTCTTCCTCCTCTTGCAAATTCCGACCATGCCTCCGTTCGCTTCGAGTTACTGGAGGGGTTCAGTGATGCTGCACTCCTCCCTACTCCTGATTTTCTAAAAGTGAACTATGACCGCCTAAATGAGTATCTTTCGAATGTTGATTGGCTTGGTCTATTCAACAACTACGTTTCCATGGACGACATTTATCGGAGATTCTGCAAGACCGTCTACAAGGCGTTGACCTTATTCGTTCCACTGAAGTTTCCTCAGCGTCGCCCTATCAAGTATCCATTGCACATCAGGAATTTGTTGGCTCAGAAAGAACGCTTATTTCGGATCCTGGATAATCCCATGAGTTGCCCGCTATACAGGAAAGTTTGTAGGGATGTGGATTACCACTTAAAGAAGTTCGTATCCAACCTTGAACGCCATCTCGGCAACCAAGCTTCCTTAAAGCGTTTGCATCAGTACGTTCGCCACACTGAAGGACCTATGTGGTTCCACACTTTTCAGCGAACCTTCAAAGGCTCAAGCACTTAGGTAAATATTTCGCCAGTGTTTTCTCAGCTCCAGTTTCTTCTACAGGAGTCCTGGAGTACGGTGCGGCTAGTTCTCAAAGCGGGGACTTTGATATTTATTTCCACCCCAGAGATGTCTATGCAGTTCTGAAAAAACTTAAGCCTTCCCTCAGTGAGCCTTTTGATGGTATTCCACAAATAATTTTCAGGAACTGCTGTGGTTCTCTTTGCAAACCCTTGGCCCACATGTTCAACATCTCTTTCCTTTTAGGTCAGGTTCCAAAAATTTGGAAAGAATCCATCATAACGGCTATCCCCAAACATCCCGAAGCTACAGCAGTTAGCGACCATAGGCCCATCAGCCTCACTTCCACACCTGTCAAGGTGATGGAGAAGATGATTTTCGTTAAACTGTTGGCATGGTTCAATCGCATCAACCTCATCCCTGCCGAACATCACGGTTTTCTTCCTGGGGTTTCGACATGTACAAACCTTCTTGACACGATGTACGACATTTGTAAATCTATCAATCCATGGAAAATCGGTGGATGTAATTCACCTCGATTTGACCAAGGCGTTTGACAAGGTCTGTCACCTAAAACTTGTTCGCAAACTCGAATTCTACGGTGTCCATGGTAGGCTTTTAGACTGGTTAAGGTGTTACCTACAGGAGAGGAGTATGACAGTTCGGGTAGGGACCAGTTTTTCGAGCAGGTATCCCTGCACCAGTGGGGTTCCTCAAGGTGGAGTGTTATCCCCTTTACTATTTCTGATATATACCGTGGAGTTGCCTCAACTTCTGAAAACACGTCCCGACATCCGAGTACAGATTTACGCGGATGACATTAAGGTATATTGCGCATATGAACGCTGGACGATAAGGATGTGATGCATCAAGCGCTTAACTGTCAGTTGAACGAATGTGTGAGTGGTCAACATCCTGGGGTATACCACTGAACCTAAGAAAATGCTTGGTTATGCATTTTGGAGATGACGTAACAGTCGATTATGTAGTAAACGGTATAACACTCCCCACCTGTGACTCAAAGAAAGACCTTGGAGTCATTTTCGACTCGAATTTGAAATTCTCCAGTCATATTGATTGCATTATCAAAAAAGCGTACTCTGCTCTGTTTGTTATAATGAGAAATATTCGAAGTTCAGACCCGACTACCCTATTGCGGCTTTACAAAGCGTATGTCCGACCACACCTTGAGTATTGCTCACAAGTATGGAGCCCATCTTTGAGGAAGGACGTATTGAAGATTGAGAAAGTCCAACATGTATTCACTCGTCTACTTTGGTTTAGGTCCACAAACTGTACTGGTCGGTACGATATCCCTCCCTACAGGGTTCGACTGAGGGCGTTTTCCTTGCATACGTTGCAGTATAGACGGATTTTATCTGATTTGGTGTTTTGCTTCCGTATTATTCGGAAGGAGGTCAAGCTAAGGGCTAGTAAGTACTGGAGCTTCAGTCCAACCACTGAAAGGCTGGGTGGGTTGAATCTTCACTATGACCACATCTACCCAAAGAACTATTCATTAATGTTCAATATAGTGTTTAATCGTTGCGCAAGATGGTTCGAGCTGCTACCGCCTTACGTTCTTCAAGCAAATAATAGTAAGTCGTTCAAGAGCAGGCTGAGTGAGCTTGACCTCTTGCGCATCTTAAGAATACCTGACTAGTTTAACCTCGGTTACTTTCTCGTCTTTCTTTCTCGTGTTTCAGTCTCAACGCTGGGTGTCTGGTCAATGTCTTCTAGTGCGTGGTTGGTTCGTTCACAACCGGTCTATCTTGCAAAATGATAAGAAACTGTTGCGTTAGCTGGTCAAACTTTGTGTTCAGGGAGTGACTGAATACTCCCGTCTATTATTTGCTATTTCA